AAGCTGGGAGAGAACTGGTTATTCTATCATGCAGGACAGAATTATTTACCAGAAGTTGGTGACTTGAGGACATGTTGGAGACATGAGTTTTGTCTCTACTTACCAGATTAACAGAATATACAGTATTTGAAGGAAAAGACATTATTTTTCTTTAACTCAAACTTTGATTGTATTATTCACTAATTGTATAATCACAAAAGAGTACAGTGTAGAATCCAGTAGAATCAAAGAGTTACATAAACACTCAACGAAACAACAACCCAATTAATAAATGTTCTAATTTCTTAAAAGAGAGGTTTCTCAGAAAAGGTAAAAATGACTAATAGACGCATGAAGAAATGTTCAATATCTGTGGCCATAAAGGAAATGAACATCAAAACAACACTGAGATTCCACCTTACCACACTTAAATGTCCGTTATCAAGAAAACAAACAATAACAAATACTGGTGAGGATGAGGCCATAAGGGAATTCTATTACACTGTTGTTGGGAATGTGAACTTTTCAATCACTCTGGAAAGCAGTATGGGGATTCCTCAAAACACTAAACTAAACTAGAGCAATCCCATTCCTGGGCATTTATCCAACACAGTATAAACAAGGCATAGTAAAGACACCAGTACAACATGTTCATTGCAGTATTATTTACCATAGCCAAGATATGGAATCAGCCTATGTGACCCTCAGTGAGTAAATGGATCCAGAAAATGTGGTGTATATACACAATGGAATTCTCCTCATCTAGTAGAAAAAAAATGATACCATTCATAAGGAAATGGAAAGGCTTGGAAAAAATTATATTAAGTGAAATAAGCCAGACCCAGTGAAACATGGGTTGCATGTTTTCCCTCATTGTGGTAGCTATAATGTGCCTATTAATCTATAAATAAAACATTGGGTGGTATGCAAGTGATTATAAATGAAATAGTATAATAAACTATGAAGAGAAGGGTGTGGGTTTGGGGAGGGGTGGTGAGGCCAAGGAGAGCCGGGTAGAAGAATGAAGGGGGAAGGTGGGAGAATGCAGGCAAGAATTCATTATATGTACCATGGAATTGAGAAAAATAAGGAGAGGAATGGGTTGGAGGGAGATGAAGATGTTAAAGGGTTGACAGATCAAGATGGATTGTATACATAGACTGCTTTGTTAAATGGCAAAAAATCAATACATATCCTCAAAATTAAGGAAAGTGAGCAAAGGAGTGAATCAATAAGGGTGGGTGAGAATGTTGAATGTATTCATAAACTGCTTTGGCAAATGGCAACTCCTTTGTACAACCACATAAAGATAAAACTATGTGTAAAAGTCAAGTAATATTCTTAATTATATTGTTTCTAAGACTTGTAAAACTGAGACTAATGATGAACAGTACACGACAAGTAATATTCTTAATTATATTGTTTCTAAGACTTGTACAACTGAGACTAATGATGAACAGTACAAGGCCTAAAGAAGAAGTTTAAAATTTTGAATTACAAAGCCATGGAAAAAGAAAGACATGGCTTACAACGAAGAAGAGGGATAAGAGGATCAAAATACAACACAATCAATAAAACACATTAGCAAGGTGATATTTATGAAGCTGAAAATGATCAATAGATGTGAGACAATGAACAAACAAAATCATTTTAGCACCCATCTTCAATAAAATCACTGCTCTGACTACTGTCTCTTATACTTCCTTTGATTTTTTTCTGTTCCCATTTTGGTAACAACAACAACAAAACCCTCTGGAGGCCAGTAGTGATGTGAATGGGAATTAGTTCCACCTCAGCTCTTGAAGCTCAGAAATTATTTCTAATGCAAGTGAAAGAATCCATAATTTCCCATCCTGTTAAGCCATCTCATCTTTTATTGTTGAAGTAGTATACTTCCAGTTTTTGAGGCAGCAGACGGGAAGTCATCTTTGACTCCTGTTAATTTTCTTTCTTTTTTTTTTTTGTATTTCTTTTGTAATCACCAACAAATGCTTAACTTATAAAATATACTAAGAATCTTATACTCACCCCATCTCTAATTCTGTCATGTTAATATATGTCCCCATCACGTCACACCTGAATTATTGCAAGAACCTTAATTTTCCAGCTTCTGCCATTGTGAACCACCTGCCCTTCCTTGTGAGTTGTGAGTCATACACTCAGATCCTTTGGAGGACTTCAGTCCTTCATAACTCTTAGGTTCTGCCCTGCTCTCTACTCCAATCTCCACTGTCAGTCTTTACTACTCATCTTTCAGTTTGTTCAACCCATTCTTGCCCCTTGATTTTCCTTAAATGTTATGCATCTCCTACCTCTAGATAGTTCCATAGTTACTCTGCCCTAAATACCCTTCTTCATATTTATAGGGCCCATGTGTACTGACCATACATCAAGTGTCACCTTCATAGAAAGACTTTCAAACAACCACTTTTACATGATAGTTCCTACACCTCATCCTTAATTCCTACCCTTTTCTTTTGATTTCTCCATATTACCATATTTATCTGGGTAAAGGGCATTGCTTTATTCACAGTTCTATCTTCCTTCATGGTTAAGAGTTTGACATATACAAAAAGTGCATAATTACTATTGGTTTACTTGATGAAGGAATGAATATATAACTAAGTACTTCAAAGGCTGATCTGATTGAGCTTCTTGACTCACCAAGTGTGGCAGCTGTATATATAGTCACTGGTTGAGCACACCAAAGTAAGGTGACTCCATTATGTTCTCTCAATCAACATTTGAACCTAATGTGATTCTATTTTGTTCTATCAATCATTGGTCCAAATTTTTTCTGAAATTTTTTTACATAATATTTCTCTACACTGACTCCAATATAAAATTATGAATTATTTTAGAAGTATCCTCAATGAAGTTTTATAGGATTAAAAATTACCTTAAGATTTTGGTTCAAAGCCAGACTAGACAGGAAAATCTGTGAATCTCCTATCTCCAATTATCAGCCCAAATGGAGTTGTAGCTCAAGAGGTAAACATAATCCTTGAGCAAAAAACTTTAAGGACAATGTCCAGGCCCTGAATACAAGCACAGGACCAGCACACACACACACACACACACACACACACACACGTACAATTACCTATTCATAGTTCTGCATAAAGTAACTCCTAAAGTTGGAAATAGTTCAGTTGGAAATAAGTTCTTGATTATCTCATATTATTTTCTAATTATACAAAAACTTTAAGTAAGGATCATTCATAAAATGGACACAGGAAATCTTGATAGCATTTGTAAAAATTTAATTTCACAAGGCTGTCAACTGGTTTGTTAAGAAATACACCACATATTTGGATCAAATTCTTAAATGCTTATCAATGAAAATTCCTAAAGAAAATTATACTGAGTTTGCTTATGGTAGTAACTTCAGCAAACACAAAGTTATATTGATTATACCCAAATAATTTGAAGCTTATACACAATGAATATATTACAAATTTAGAGGAAATCCATGCATTAATGGGAATTTATAGGTATTTTTATTTTTGTCACTTTGCTTAATGTGAAAGATCTCAAGAAAATCTAGTCAATGATTTCTATAAAAATAATTATGTTAAGTTAATAACAGTGAGACATTGAAACCAATGCAAATGCGTCTTCTGTACTAGTTTGTTAACAAAATTAAAAACAAGGAAGTAAAAAGGAAAAGGGGTGTTAATTAATCCATAATTATTTCATTTGATCCCATCAAAATTTTCATGACACAAATGTCCCCACTTTAAAGATGAGGCATCTGAAGGATCATGTTTTAAAATATCCTCTGTTTTGGAGCAGGGTAGTAGTTTGTTAAAACTCAATTTACCAGGTTCTGCAATTCTATTCTAGGTTTGTGTTTTAATTCAGATGATACTTGTTTAGAAGGTAGTGTACACTTTCCAAGGCTAAGGCAAAAGTTACTGTTACTTTAAATTAGACCCCTGGAAAATTCCAAGAGTAATAAAGTCCTCAATAAGGCAATAAGTGAGTAAGAATAAATTGGGCTATTATCAGAAAAAATATATTGAGTGCAATATAGGGGAATATCACAAGACTTCCTATTTTAGCCTATAGATCAAGGTTCTTGAATTTTGCCATGAGTTAGAATCTTCTGGAAGACTTTATTCCTATCTTCCGTGTTTTTAATGAAACAGTGACTAGAAAGGTTGGGCCTTTTTTTTTTCAGGTTGACAGGAAGAATAGATCATATGTTACTACATGACTTAATGACTGGAAGATACAGCAGTTTGAGTGAAGGAAAACACTAATTTTTTTTAAGGCAACAGATTCAATTGACCAAAAGGTCATTGCTTGGCCAGACCTATAACTCACAAGATCTAAAACTCAAAATCTAGAACTCAAGACCTAGAACCTAGGGTAAAAAAAATGTTTTTTGTAGCCATAGCACAAAAATGGTCATGCAAGTCTCACACATCTTTCAGGCTTACACACAATAAAAAGTAACTAGGAACTGAAAATATTGGGGTATGTTTTTACTTTTGGGATGTGAAGAAAATAGTCATTTAAATAGGAAAAGAATTAGAACTCTGGGAAATTTAAAGCACAGGGGAGGGTATGGCTTCTGAAATCAGGGAAAGGTTTCAGAAGAATGAGACAAACTGGTCAAGAGTATAAAATTGGCCGAGTGTTCATGAATCCCTCAATATTTTAGGAAAAGAGCAGCAGTACCATCCATCCCCTGAGCATCTGCTCTAGTGGTTCTATGGCACAGGGAAGGTGAATTGCTGATATAAAATGAGAATCAGAAATTATTGTCAGTAGAGTATTGTGAGTGTGAAAATTAAAACTGAGAGAGAGAGAAAGGGATCCAGGATTAGCTGTTAGTCAGAGACCTTTGTCAAAATTGCTATGGAAGTGTCTATTTACTTTTCAGTAAATAGCTGCTAGTTAACCTTACAGTGTAACTGTAACTCCTCTGTATAGCATCTTTACAATAAAATAAAATTAAAAAATAAACAAAAATATTACAGATTAAAACAAAACATTTTCAGGTTTTCTCATACCATCTGTAAAGCAGGCTTCTGGTTCATCAGAATTCACAGGTTCAGCCTCCGCTTCTTCTCCTTCTCCTGGCAGAGGGTTATCAACTGTGCTGCACTCAGAAGAGCTTGATCGGTTCCGTCTCTACAAAGGAATTCACCACCCCCACCAAAGAGATCATTGAGGGTTCGTTCAAGTCCTACAGTCTAGTTTCACTTAAGAATCACTCATGCAAAGTGTTATGACTAAAGTTCAGCAGCATAATGGTCATAAAAATGTATAAACACACATTGAGGTCCAGGGACCTTACAGTGGATCTCTGTTTGATCTTTCTATCTACACATCCTGCAAAAAAATGCATTTTTATGTTACTAAAAAGTATTTGAACAAATTGGCACAGGTAATATTCTAATGCTAAGTACAATTTTGGAAAATATTGATCACATTTCATTATTATTTTTGTTTATTGCAAAGTACTAGCACATAGGTGCTAACATACTAAAGCTAAATCACTGAAAAATCAGACCTCATAGTTAGCAGAAGCAGCTTGTAAATACCCAAGAAAACCCAAGCATTTTTCTCTAATATCTTGGATTTTGGAATATGTAACAGGATGATATAGACAGAAGGTCTTTAAACAAGCTCATGATAATCAAATATTGGAATCAAATTGTGCAAGGCCATTTCAGCACCATCCATTTTAATTTACAATGATATAATACAATAGGAAATACCATGAACTATTATTTCCAAAGTCAAGGTAGTGACTACCAAAAGTAACACCACATGCAGACTCTGAAACAAAGATTCAATGAAATTAAATGTGATAGACTTACACATGAGAATAATGAATTCGTGTAATTATGATCATTACAGTGATCATAACACAAACGAATTTCCCTCTCCAACGCTTATGATCAAACATATGTCCGCATGTGCGTGCAAACACACACACACACACACACATGCACACACACAGAGAAATATTTAGAGAAAATACATAATTGTAGCAAAATTCTTGTCAAATTTTCCTAATACTGTTTTATAAAATGTTAGAGTGGTCTATCAATTGTAGAGTTCATTTTTCTTTCTTATTTGCTAAATGACAAGTGAATACAGAAAAGTGGTAGTTAACAAAATACATGCTTCTTTTCTAAAAATTATAGTTTAATTTTGTGAAATAGTTCAAAGAAAAGAAAGGGCTAAAATGAAAAATTTCTCATTTTACTTAAATCGATTCTTGTCTATAAAGGTTTATTAAAATCTTAGGCTCAATATAAGCTATTAAGCTTTAGAATCATAAAATATCTTTATGCTTATTGCATACTATTCTCTGTGATTATATATATTAGTAAAAGTTGAAAATATACATATGTGTATGCACAAAGTCTTTTTTTTAATCAATGTGGCAGGCAACTATGAACATCCTATTAAATGAGTATTTCTATGCTACATTGATGTAGATCCATTATTTCTGTCAGGGTGAGTTACGAATAGCAGTGATAAAGCTTGTTAAGTTTTTTTTCACAATTTAAAAACAGACAAGAAGAAAAACATAAATCACACAACTTGCACATTTGAATCATTTCCACAACTAACTACAATGAAGAAGGGCAAGAATGGACAAATTCCAATGACTAATAATTATAACCTCTTCAAATGTGGATTTCTAATATTAAGAATCCACTGGATGAAACATCTCTTACAACCTCTAGGTAGGCCAAATTTCAAACTATTCCTTATTATTGATGTCTACAAGGTTTTTAACCTCGTAAGAGAACTTTCACTTTTAAGATGTACCCAGACTATTTTAATAACAGTTTGGTAGACATTTTAATTTATGAATTCACAACAAGAATATATGTATGTACATATACTTCTGAGGTTTTTTCAAGTGTTATATGCTTTTATCTACTTACATTGATACTATAATAAATATGTAAATCTTTTGGCTCTAGGTGAAGGAAATGTGGTAGCCTGGGAAACAGGCCTGTCACTACCAATTTGAAGTAGACAATATGTCTCTTACTTAAGGGCACCTTTAACTTGAATATCATGTGAACTAAAGCATTTCTTTTGCATTGTATAGTGTTATCATTGTCACTAGTGTATGTAGATTTTAGTTTGCTTTCCTGAATATACAACAATGAAAACAAACATTTCAACAATGACAGGGAAATTCAAAATATGAAGTGGATTATAAAAAGGCAAGATTTTTGACATGGATTTTCTCCTATTTGAGTTCAATCATTCAACAAAGTATAATAATATTAAATCAAAGTATCATTGTATATCTTCTTTTCTATTCTTTAGAAATCTTACATAAAGCAAGTCATTATTGCTAGTTATCAGTAGTGTTTTTTAGCTTACAAATAATTTTTTTCATGTGTTTGTGCTGGTATTAGAGTAAGAACTCAGCACCTCAGTCTCTTCTAGCTCTTTTACCCCTTGGGCTTTTTTAGCTCAAGACAGGAATTCTGCCAATTGAATTGTATCTTCATTTCTGGTTTTTTTGCTGATTAATTGTAGATAAGAGTCTCACAGACTTCTCTGTTCAGGCTGATTTCAACAGTTTCTTGAATGAGCTAGGATTACAGGCATGAGCCACCAACATGCAGCTTGACAAACAGATTTATATCTAGCTTTAAAAGGCTATTCTGAATATATTTATAGTCAATAGCTTATTCTCATCAGTGAGAAATACTGCTTCTAAAATCACCTTATCACTCATTCATAGATGGAGCCTATTAAGCATTAATTGAAGTAACATATATAAAAATAGTATTGAATGTGAAGCATTGAACTAATTATAAACAACAAAGTCCTAGTAATCACTATGCTTAAATAATTTAAAATATACTTAAACTTTAGACTTCAAAGTTGGGTTTCTAGGCTCTGTCCCCAACTTCCTGGATGTGTAGTAAGAAAGCACCAACTACAGACTGAATATCATTTTCTTTGTCTCTAAATACAGGACTAAAAATGTAATGTTCCTTTCTTGCTGAGACTTTGTTTACAACTGAAGTATTTTTCACACAAAATTTGTTTTTGAGTTTTAGTATACTCAGTTTAAAGTTGATAGAGGTTTTTAAATTAAGCCTGCTTCAATGGCTTTTGTTACTGTATCTTTTATAATCCATCCAGTAAAAGTCCATAGGTCATGCACTGGAAACTGCCTAAGAGTCCATAGCCACAAAAATGATGGAATGTCCCCAGTGACATGCCATGATGTCAATTCACCTATAGAACAATTGTGTTTTTTGATACTTTCTTGCAATGGGTCAGGCAGGAAGATTTTGTAGCTGAACAGCATGCAAGACACTGAAAAAAATATCATATATGTATGATTTTTTTTAGGTAACCTGAATACAAGTGGTCACATATGTCTCTGTCTGGTTAAAGCACAGAGCAGCATCCTTGAATGGATCCACTTTGATTTTACCCCTGTGGGAAGTGAAGTTAGGTCCTGAAATTTAGAAAAGCAGCATGATGAAACAGCTTGGTCAACTGTGATTGAAAATGTTAATGTCATGTACCTATTAATAGAAATTACTTATCTGTTTGCAAATGCATGCTTGCTACAAATACAATGCTAAGTCACAGATTTGAAACAAAGGAATAAGATTAAATATTATTCAATATAGACTTTATAAATAATGAACCAGTTACATAATTATCTTCATTAGAAGATGACTTTATATATTAAAACATGCTCATGCAATCTTTTATATGCCATTTGCTCTTCAATACAAGCGACATTCCAAAACAAGCACTACCCAGAGGAATAGGGTAAAAGGGTGTGTAGTTTGAACAAAGGTATTCTAAAATTAGACTTTCTTGGTTTACTCTTAATTAGCAAATGTAATTAACTTGATATTCCAAACAGCATTTCAGGAAAGCAACACTCAAACATTTATTAAAAACAAAAATAATATTTATGTATTTACTTACTTTTATCCTTTTGGTAGCAATGAGGATTGAACTCAGGGGCCTTGTGTTCTACTGCTTGAGCCACACCCCATAAGACTTCAGTCTTTCCATCAACTGTACTTCTGGGAAAGTGGATTCTATTTTCTAAAGATCTATATAACTAAAATTTTAAATGCTTTTTTGATGAAGCAACTACTTCTATAAGGAAAACACACCTTGATGTCGTGTGAGAGCACTAGCCTTAAGCACAAAAGCTCAGTGACAGTACCCAGGCCCTGAATTCAAGCCTCAGTACCGGCATACACACACACACACACACACACACACACACACACACACTCACACACACACACACACACACACACACACAGGATTTTGGGATCTGGTAACAATCTAGTTAAAACCACTACTATGCTATATTAAAGGGACATAGAAATTTAGTCTTGATGGCTACATATTTGAACAAGTTTTAAAATCAATAAAATAAAATAATTGCACTTCATAATGAGTAAGCAAGTTTAGGTCATTCCAAAAATGATGGCATTCAATGTAAATACTGAATACATGAATGGATGGAAACATGAGTGAGTGAATCAAGTCATCAATATGAATGCTTTTGCTCTGCTGGAGATTTCCTTCTGTGCTACATCTATGTATCTCTGTACTTTAGGATCTAGCTTAAGCACCACCTCTTTCCATGTGCATTCTGCCTAATACATGCTCTATTATTGTGCTGTTATATAAGTTGTTTTGCTTTGCTCTGTTATAACTATTTGTACATTTGTACATTTATTTTAAGCCCAAGCTATTTGAATCTAAACCTCTTGGGGTTTGGAAATTGGGTACTTTCTAGAAATTGGGCATGAAATTATATCAGTCATTTATGCCTGATATAATATGTGATGCCTGCAAAATTAGGAAACCAGATGGAATCTTGAACAGAATTGCCCTGTGGACTGCTGATCTATGGAACTTTTTAAATACAAAAGCAGAACATTCTATATAAATATGCTAACATAGTAGTTTCCATTATGCAATAAGCAGATTCCTATTTTACTGCTAAAATAACAATGAAAAATAGAATTTGTACACATTAGAATTGCTTGTGCAGGGCTGGGAAGGTGGCTCAGTGGTAGAGTGCTTGCCTTGCATGCCTGAGGCCCTGCGTTTGTTTCCTCAGCACCACATAAGCAAAAAGAAAAAAGACGGAAGTGGCGCTGTGGCTCAAGTGGTAGAGCGCTAGCCTTGAGCTGAAGAGCTGAGGGACAGCGCTCAGGCCTAGAGTTCAGGCCCCACGACCGGACCCCCCCCCTCAAAAAAAAAGAATTGCTTGTGCATTCCTTTTCTGTTTCTACCAGTTTTTATACTTAATTTTTTTATTGTCAAGATGATGTACAGAATGGTTAGTTACATAATAAAGTAATGAGGACATTTCTCTTGCATTCTTGAGTAAAATTAATCCATTCAAAGAACTAAGATCTGAGCAAGGGTAACAGTACAGTAGCAAGCATACTCTACAGTTTTTCATATAGTGAGAAAAGGCAATCAACACAGATCAATTCTAATAAACATATTCTCCTAACAGAACAGGGGCTTGAAAAAACGGTTTTATTCAAAAGATATGCCATATGGGATAATTTTTTTATTAAAATTCAATAAGTCATAAAATGGAGACAATTTCCAGCTAATGACTTGTACTTGAACAGTGATTGCAAAGCAGGGAAAATAGTAAAAGCCTTAATATAAGAACCTAATAATTAACTCAGCAGGGCTTACACCTGAGAAAAATGTACCAGGCTGTGAATATAAGGGCCTTAATTTGGTGCAGAAGAGTTTGTGATATTATGAATAATTTCTGTGGAAAATAATAATAATGACAACAGTTCCACACATACATTGAGTCTAACAGAAGTATACAAGTTAAGGTGTGAAAAGAGGATACAAAAATGATGTTAAAGAAGTTACTCTTCTCAATAAACTTAGACTATTATCTGACACATACCATAATTTCTCAAAAAGAGAAAGAAAATGCAAATCTAGGAAGAAATAAAAAATTGTGTAGGCTGTAAACTGATAAGGTATTCCATTCACTTGGACAGAAGAATACATCATCACCTTATAACATTTTGTGTTTTGCTCTGAAAACTATCAATATACTCTATGATTTATTGTATCAACGCAAATTATAGTTTATTGTACAGATAATTTTGCATATGAGGAATTGAGTACTTTGCTTTGGCAGATCCATGTTGGAATTGTGCCACAGAAGAAAATCACAAAATCACACAGGAATAAAGTTTGTATGACCTAGAAGGAAATTGTTTTAGTATGGGTCATGAATCCTCAGGTGAGTACAAGCAGCACAACCAGTCAAAACTGGTTAGGACTCCCAATGGAAGGGCTTATCCACCCTGTATAGTTTAGGAGACTTTGGGGACCATGGATATATCCCAAGAGTGACATGATTAGGATTGAATCAGAATGAAATTAATCCAGTAAGTGGAGTAGAGTAGCTAGAGGCAGAGGAACTAGTTGAGGCTCCACTTACAATGGTTTAGCACAGTGAATATGTAGGTAATGGTGATGAGGAGCAGAGGTTGATTTGTCAGACACTAAGGAAGGAGAGTATGGGTGATGCTACAACCAATAATAAAATAACATAAAAGGTGGGAAGATTCATGGATATCTAAAATTTTCAAATATAACAAAAAGATTAAATCAATTAATAACAACCAATAAGAAAACTTTGCAAGCTATACTTTCAGGAAGTTGTTGTATAAACTCAGTCACACACACACATACACACACACACACACACACACACACACACACACACAGAAGATCCTCATCCATGCATACATATTAGAACAAAAGAGGGGATAGACCTGTGCAAGTTTGATTCATTTCATACTACTTAATAATATGCAACACTATGTATGAAGCAATTTTACCTCTTTGCTGTAGTCGCTATCTGAATCACTGCTAAGTTCCTCAGTATTCATATTTTCCAAGTCAGATTCCCCAGGGGCGATTGGCACTGTGACTGTGAGGCTTGGATTATGAATAAATGATTGATAATCACTTTCTTCCATCAAGGTTTTGTCCATACTGCTTCCATAACCACTGAGTCTCTCTTTTTCATTGTGAAAATGGTAATCTTTGCTCATTTCAGCAAGTGTGCGGTTTGAGATATAGTTTTCTTTTTTATTATTTAGATTTTCTGCTCGTATTATCTCCTTGGAAATCTTGGGCTTTTTAGAAAATGCCTTTAGAATAAATTCCCGTAAGGTCTGTTTCACATAATTTATTCCCCTTTTAATTCTGGCCACTGCAATCTGAAGATTATTTGCATCAGTGTCTTCTTCAATTGCTGTAAGATTGTCTGAACTAAATGAACTCAATAATAATGCTAGAAACAGATTCAAGACCTGTGACAGGTTGGGATGAGATAGAGAAATAGGGAAAAAGAAAACAAAAGGAAGAAAATAAGCACACTTTCCTAAAAACTCTCAATAATATTAATTAATCAATGATAATAAAATTAAAGCATCTTTTCCTGCACAGAAAAAGACATGAGAGGTGGAGAAGATAGTAAATTCCTCATGGGTCTCTCATGCTGGGCCTGATGACCTGAGGAAGCAGAGTTCTAATCATGAAGAATTACCGTGGGGGACGAGACTGGGCCCTCACCATTATTATTACATAATTTCCATGTTCATTCTGTAATAAGAATCCTTTTGTCAAATTCCCTTCAATTAATGTAAGAAGTTAAAACATTTACTTATTATTACTACTTGTTACTTGTAAGAAACAAATAGAACAAGAAAATCAGACCAGTACTTATAGAACTGAAATAATTCATGCCACCTCTACTCACTTTTCCCAGAAGGTAAAAATCGCTTGTTACAATCAATGGAACAGATAATTCTTATTGAGTTACTATAATAAAACAGTTTGTCCAAGTATGATGCCAGCTCACAAATTAATGTTTCTTTTAAAGAGGAAAAGATAGCTCTCACTGGTCTCTCATGTCTAGCTACTGAGGAGGCTGAGATCTCATGATCACAATTTGAATTCAGCCTGGGTAGAAAAGCCCATGAAGCTATCTCCAGTTAACTTCCAAAAAAGAAATTGGTAGACTCAATTGGACTCAATTGGTAGAGGGTTATCCTTGAACAAAAAGTTAAGGGACAGAGTCCAGGCTGACACACAAAAAAGATAGATAGATAGATAGATAGATAGATAGATAGATAGATAGATAGATAGATAGATAGATAGATAGATAGAATAAAAAAGAATATAAGAAGCTCAGCTCATTGGAGTCTGAGCATGTAACAAAATGACACTGCTGGTGTCATTGTCTATCTCTTTTTATCTTGCCCATGTAATTGTAATCCCTCTGTGTGGTATTCCACAATAAAAAAAAGTTGTAAAAGAGTTCAGGACAATTTCTACCCTTGAAGAAACCCCCTATTTTCAAACAAAACCATTTCTGTTGTCTCCCTAAAGTAAGAATCCATGTGACTTCTCAGTCTTAAAAAGTTTTCACAAAACTATGAAGCATAAATTTTATCTAAACATTAAGTTGCATCTATAATATAATGTAGCTGCAACTTAATGTAAGTCTCTTCATGGCCCAAATAATATACTTCATAGTTTAAAAAAAATCAAAATTACCATAGAGGAGAAAAGATTTACCCCTATTCTGGCCACCTCTAAAACAACTTGTCAGAATTATAAGAGCACAGATTAAAACTGTGCCAAAGAAACTTCTGGAAGTAGGTGGTTAGGAATCCATGATGATTAACTTGAATTGTCAATTTGATAGGACTGAGAAATGCTTTAAAGATGAGTGGAACACAGCTCTGGACAAGCCAGTGTGTTTCAGAGAAGGGCGACTAAGGGGAGGAAGGCCTGTTTTTTGATATATGACATTATAGGATGATTTAAACACTGAGTTTTAAACTACTGGACGTCTGAACCTACCACGAGGTTTCCAATCACCATGACCATCATGTAAACAATAAGGCACATGGTCTGGCCAGCCACCTCCATGCAGTCCCACATGGTTTCTATCCACTCTCCACACAGCACGCGGAACACAATGAGGAAGGAGTGGAAGAAGTCGTTCATGTGCCAGCGAGGCAGCGTGCAGTCCTCGTTGATCTTGCAGACGCATTCTTTGTAGCTCTTACCGAAGAGCTGCATGCCGACCACAGCAAAGATGAAGACGATGATGGCCAACACCAAGGTGAGGTTTCCCAGCGCCCCCACGGAGTTGCCGATGATCTTTATTAGCATGTTTAATGTTGGCCAAGATTTTGCCAACTTGAATACCCTGAGCTACAAATAAACAAGAGCCATCCATTATGAAACATTTTCTTTTTAGATCTTGATTTTTTTGTAAGTCTAAAACAGACTTTGAATGGTACAATATTGTTATTGTTAACTTGCTCAAAGCAATTATTCTTCTTCATTTCAAATTCCTGTTATTCTGCTAGGCTTGCTACAATGTAATTACAACAGGAAGTGTGTGATTTTTATTTTACATGTGACTAGAAGCTTCTTATTGTAGTTTTAGAGCTCATTTCTTTTAGAATTGGTTATTTAATCTTAATTTTATTTTCTGATACTTTAGTGCTTTCATGAATACATCAGAATTAAGACTACATGGAGAAATATGTTTCTGATATCAGAAAATTACTTTGGGGATAATACTTTGGTTGAATTATCATATCCATAAGTTGAGTGTTCATATAATTTCTGAAATTATGTAAAGCATAATAAACTTCTTGTTTTGAAAGAAATTATTAGCCTATTAGGCAAAATATGTCTATTATGTTAGCATAATATTTCAAATTAGATCTAGATTCAGCCCTAAGATCATAAAGTGAAAATATATATGGGGTTTTAGTTCTTCAAGTACATTGGAAATAAATGAACTTTAAGGCCTACTCTTACCTCTTCATTCAACCTCTTCAATGTTTTAAATACTACTACTAATAATAAGCATAGTCACGAACACTTATATTATAGAATACAGTGGCAAGGTTAGCTTGTCCTTACCAGTCTGAATGATCGCAGAACTGACAATCCTTCCACATCAGATAGAAAAAGCTCCACTAAACTTAAAGTCACAATAATGCTGTCAAAAATATTCCAGCCTACTTGGAAATATTCATAAGGATCCATGGCGATTAATTTCAAAACCATTTCAGCTGCAAAGATGCCAGTAAAGACCTAAATGAGAAATATGTTTTCCTATTATTATTGAAAACAATGGAATCAATTAATTAATGATAGTTTAGCATTTGCTGTGTTCCTCATAGGTGTAGATATTTTATAAATGGATGTTTCACTAAATCTTATAAACAGATATAGGTAGCTCTCATGTAAGAATTGGAAGGTTAAAATGCTCTAATTGTTCTGTCAGATAACATGTAGAGGATGAAATTAAAATTCCAGAGAAGTAACTCCTTTGGTAATTAATCCCTCTCCACAAAAAATGTATGTGGACTACACATTGTTTCAGAGAAAGATATTATGGAAACATTCATGGATACTGAAATTTTGAGCCAGTTTTTGTTTTGTTCTTCATGTTGTCTGTCTACTTTTAGTAATAAAAAAGAACACATTGACTCTGTTTAAAGATTTATCACAAGAGGGCAAAAAAGTAACTCGCACAGCAGTAGAGTTAACGTCCAAATCTTTGACACAGAGTGCATTCCAAACATAATTAATTCATGAAACTGGTATTGGAGCACTCACTAAAAGTGGTAATAGTGAAAAACTTGCTTATGATTCATCTGGGTTAACTTTGACTCATAGATTTGGCCAAAGATCACTCAAATGAAAATGTCCAGGTCTATCATCACATGGGTTAATTTTGTAAATAATGTAGCTCCAAACATTATTGAGTATCTCAATTTGGGGTTGTGGTAGTAGGTAAGAAATATGGTTGAATCCCTTGAATTTACAATGGTACATACAGTAAACTTGGAGATGGTACTTATTTGACAAATCCACACCTCCATTAATAATTACAGACTAGATGCTTCTACTAAACACCAGTGGCTCACACCTGTAATTCTAGAACCTGTAATTTTCCTGTGCTTCAAGAGACTGAAATGCTCCAAATCTCAGTTCAAAGCCAGCCTGGACAGAAAAGTCTATGAGATTCTGTTTTCAAAGTAACAAGCAAAAAGCCAGACTTAAGGCATAGCTAAGTGGTAGAGCACTAACCAAATGAACAGGCTAAACAAGAATAGGTTCAAACTCCAATATCAGAAAAACAGAAAAAGAGAGAGAAAGAATGCAAGAAAAAAGAAAGAAATGAAAGAAAGAAACAAAGAAAAAGAAATAAACTAGATAGTCAATTATCAAAGATAAACAGAGGAAAGAAAGTAATAACTCAGAGGTAAAACATTGACCTTGATTTTCTCTTCTTGGTAAAATAAGTTTATAACGATTATACAAAATAATGGGCTTCATTATGGTATTTTCACCATGGATATTGTGTACCTTAATAATATTCCCCCCTAGCGCTTTCTTTACTATCCTCCCTTCTTCCCCTGTCCCTGGTCCCCTTCTTTCCAAATCCTTCCTTTAATTTGCATGTCAATTTTAAAACCTTGATTCTGCATAAGAGAGAAGCATAAATTTTGTTCCACATGCAGATCTACAGTTTTATTTTTTCATCCAGGAAATTACATAATTTCTGTCTTTTGAGGCTGAATAAATGTTTAATTCTTGAAGAGAGTTCAAAATATTTATCCAAGATCAAAACTAGCAAGAGACTGGGTCAAAATTAAAATTCAAGTCTTTGGAATTCCAAAAGCCAAATACTTTCTCCCTATTATTCAAAATGAGATGGTAATATTTTTTCTAAAAATACAAGGAGCATCTACTTTATAATTATAATATATGTAAAATGTATGAAAATTATGAATGTTGATAGTCATGCTGTAGACAAAACCTTTAACTCATAAAGTGACAAATGCAGAAACAATATTATTTACAAAACTTAACACCACTCTAAAATTATTTAAAAACACCATATATCACCAGAAGCTGGACTGTGCACATGGACTCTTATGATATATTATAAACATGCATAATTCCCAAATACAGATGCAGTGATTTAAAAAAAATGGAAATGGTGATCAAAAAGAAAAGCTGTGGGTACTCCACACTCAATACAACACTCACCAAATTTCCCACAGTAAGAACATTTTTGAATTCTTCAGTCATTGGGTGGTGTTCCATAGCCATAAATAATGTGTTTAGAACTATACAAATGGTAATTGCAAGGTCTACAAAAGGATCCATTACAATAAAATAAATAAACTTTTTGAATTTTATCCAATATGGGGAGCAATTCCAGATCAAAAAGGTGTGTGCAAATCTGTACCACCAGGGTGGGCATTTTTGTCTGGACTCTTCAAGTTCTGAGAAGGGAAAAAATTACAACAGAGAGTAAGAAGTCATTAATTTTTATATCTTATTCATAATTAGATACAAATCAGCAAAACTATGTAATATTCTAAAAGAATTGTGCTTTAGACAGCATAAAAGTTTTTTTTCTATGAAACCATAGTATCTATACAGAAAAATTTCTTATTGCATCTGTACACTTAGATCAAGGAGCGGGGAAAGGAGTAAAATCAAACAATGACTGAAGGCAGACATATGTACATCTCTCAGATAAAAATACACCAACATATCAGACATAGAAGGACTGATTTTTGACATTACAGGAAGGAATAGGAGAAACTATAGGTCTCCTTGGCAAAGGCCAAAATTTTCTTAATAGAGACCCAGAAACACAATAAATCATGGCAAAGACATAGCAAGCAAGATCAATAGAAAGCCCATGGATTGGGAGAGAATCTTCACTAGCCATACAACAGACAGGGGTCTCATATCTAAAATATACCTGCAACTCAAAAAATTAAATTCCCCAACAACAAATAATCAGAGAAACAACTGCCCAATAAATAAGTGGAATAAAGACTTAAAGAGAAACTTCTCTGAAGAGGAAATAGACACATGAAGAAGTGTTCAACTTCTCTAGCCATAAAAGAAATGCAAATCAAAACATTGAGATTCTACCTCACCCCAGTTAGTATGGCTATAATCAAGAACTCTAATAACAACAGATGTTGGAAGGGATGTGGCCAAAAGAGGAACCCTACTACATTGTTGGTGGGAGTAAAAACTTGTTCAACCACTTTGTAAAGTAGTATGGAGGTTCCTTAAAAGACTCCACATAGATCTCCCCTATGACCCAGCAATCCCACTTTCGGCATTTACTCAAATGATCACAAACAAGACCACACTAAAGCTACCAGCACAACTATGTTTATCACAGCATCATTTACCATAGGAACCAACCCAGATGCCCCTCAGTAGATGAATGGATCAAGAAAATTGTGTGTGTGTGTGTGCGTGTATGTGTGTATAAAATGGAATTCTATGCCCCCATCTGAAAGAATGATATCGCCACATTTGTTAGGAAATGGAAAGACTCAGAAAAAATTATATTAAGTGAAGTAAGCCAGGCCCAAAGAAACATAGGACCCATGGTTTCCATTATTTGCAATAACTAGTATAAGTCTAGGACAAGCAAAAAAGGTCAAAAGCTATGTACATATGACCATATATACATAGTGAAATGAACTTCAAGATAGGGACACAGGTATTTTTTTCTTTCTTGCTATTGTTTTTTTTAACATATTTATAATGTACTATGTGATTTTTTATTTCTTTTTTTTATTGTGAACATACTGAACAGAGGGGTTACAATTACATGGGCAAGATAATGAGTACATTTCCTATGAAGCATTTTAGCCTCCTCCTTTGTGATTTTTTTTATTTCTTTGGTATGTTCTTCCCCCATGGTATAACCCCTGTTTTCACTGTATTTGATGTACATTTTTCTAATTTGGGGAGGAGAAGGGAAAAAACAAAATGCTTAAATAGGGATAAAAGTTGACCCATTGTATCAATGAGATGTACAAGACACTATGTTGAAAACAAACTACAACGTCAGGATTGGGGGCAGGGGGAAGAGTTGGGGAGGTGGAGAGGGAAGGGATTGTGGGGCAAATACAATGGAGGGGGTAACAATGCTGGATAGGAAATGTATTCATGTAACTGTAACCCCTCTGTACAGTATCTTTACAATAAAAATATATACATTAAAAAATAAGGACTGATGTTTGAGAGTGAAATGTTTGCTTTTAACAGCATAAATATATTTTTCCATTTCTTTGATCTCAGAACAATAGTAAGACAATTCTATTCTGGTTGGGAAAAACTTTTACTGATGTAAAAAAACACCAGAACCAATGGATAAGAAATAATTTATGAAAGAACTCACTAGTCACCCCATTGGTGTATTTTATTCTCACCTTAATAGTATGGGATGGATTAAAAACTTGCAGTTATAATGGGAGGGTAGTGGGGATAAGGGTAAGTCTATAGACAAGGTCAACCCCAGGGCACATTCCACAGAGTAGAAAGCAGCACGTCTTTGAAAACTGACACCTATGGCTGTCTTTGCTTATTATAGGGAGACTTTCAGAGAGATGAGGTCCTTTCTGAGACTGTACAGCGAGAAAATCACACAGCCCTGAAGCAATGTGGCTTTCTCTAGCTAGTACTTTAATTTATCTTTGTAATGGCATTTCACATGATATTTATTTTTAATCACCAAAAGCAACATCCATTATTAACCACATAAAAAAGATTTCATCAGTTTTTTTTAAATTACTGCTAAAATCCAGTTTACAATTTGAAAATTCTTCCTCAGACCTTCATGGAACTACTTAAAGGTGAATTTAGCTTCTATTTCAGCTAAGAAGATAAAACTACCACATACCTTCCACAGTGTTTGTTAATATGCTTGCTCTACTCATTGCTCTTTGTCTGAGGTGAGGATCATTCAGCATATCCTCCGACAGGAAATAAGAACTAGACCGTCTTTTTTTTCTTATTTGATTACTTGTGCCCTGAAATAAAAAAGATGATTAATTAAAAACTTAAGGGTAGAATTCTATCTGGTGTTTGATGCCTGTAATCCTAGCTACTCAGGAGGCTAAAATTTGAGAACAAATTTCAAAATCAGCCTGGACAGGAAAGTCCATGAGACTCACCTTCAGCTAAACAAACAAACAAACAGAGCCTGAATAGAACTGGAGCTGTGGCTTAAGTGGTAGAGCACTAACTTTAAGCAGAAAAGCTCAGAGACAGTGCCTAGGCCCTGAATTCACAACCACCACCACAACCAAAAATAGATTCTAATAAAGTATATCTATAAAGTAAAATCCTGCTTAGGTAGTTAGAGTGAATAATTAAAAGAAAGACTTCTAGAGTTTTGGGTCCAGGTTATGGATCTGCTACTTGTGAACAGCTGAGTATGGATCATAAGCAAGTTACTAGACTGTTTCATCATGGGTAAAGTAGAGATAGAAAAACTTGCCTCATACTGTGGGTGAGCATTGAAACTTAAGTAAAACAAATCTAGCTGCTTTTGTGGTCACAGAACTTCTGCCATCTCCCTATCTTTTTGAATATCCAATTTATACAAATATCCTGCACCACTGAATGTGTAATGTAGCAGAATTCACTATTTTCCAATAATATTTTCTATAATTACTCACAGTTGGGTAACAACACTAATAAAAGTTACCATAGTGAGTATAAGATGATAAAGGACTCAGCCTGAAAACAACACTCTGCACTGATGGAAGCTGTCGTAAAATGAAGAAAGTAAGCACCATCAGTAAGAGTTGATGCTGTACAGCTCTAGAAGTTATTGCCATGCAGGAATATGAGCTCAGGGACACCAGACATAGTCATTGTTTAAAGTGACAATGTCTTATTTTTAAGCATGGTAGCAAATTTCAATTTAGAAAACTATACTTGTTTAGTGCAGGCCAACACATACCTTGTATACACACATATGCACACACATACATATGTCCACAAATATTTCCACAACTCCACAACTGTCATCTACCTGCCTTATGCACTATGCAATATATATTTTATAAAACTATGTATGTTAATATAGTTCATATAAGTATACAGTCTAGAGTTGTGTAGTTGCAAAAATATAGTCATTTATGTATGTATATTACATATATAAATGTTCAGGCATATATATGTGTGTGCATGTATACATGTATGCACATATGTACAAAAACAACACATCACTATGTAGAGATCTCTCTATAACCACATTTTCTTTGTTACTATCACTAATTTTACTGATTTTTCTAGAAGCAAATTACTTTCCTTCAAGCCTAGCAAGACTTTATTTTCCTGATAATAATTTTTTCCTCTAGACATGTCCAAAGTATAGAAATTTTATCATTTGCCATTTTTTCATCTAAACTATGTATTATGCCAAACTTTTATTGCAATGGTTGCATTTATAATGTCTCTGCTTTTGCAATTTTGGCTTTAAGATTGCAGGCTTGATTTTTTTCTATGTCAAAAATAATCCTTTAAATAAAACCACTTCCTTTAAATATGTGTAATAATCTCTAATTCTGATATATATTACATAATATTTTACACATTATGCACATCATTGAAAAAGAAAACATAAAAATAGATCCATGCAGTTTTTACATGCTTACTAATAAGAAAAGAAAAAAAACCTTGACAGAAAGGCTGAAGCTGTATCATGCAAGCATAAAGGTGTCCAAGTTATCTCTGTGCACATGCATTTATCCAAACTGAAACATGTGTGGCCATGGCTTTGATGAAATTTTATTCTCACTTAAAATACTACAAAGTCTGCTAATAGTAATACATTAACATATAGCATATATTAGGAGCCTGTAGGGTTAGTCCTAGCCCTTGAGTAGTGCAATAAAGAATAGTGAATGGATTAAGGAAGCATCCTAGAGACTCCAGGAATCTGAAAGATGTCATTTTCTTGCCTAATAAATCTCTATAATCATTCAGGATTTCTTATTTCTTGATACTGTTTTGGAGTCTTATCAGTTTTGTGTTCATGTGTATTTATTTGAGTCAGTGTATGGGTCTTAGCTCTTTCATTCTGTATTCATAGTTGGCAGAGGAAAAGTCTTTTTTATTTATTTTTTTTATCATTTTTTTTTGTTGGTCGTGGGGCTTGAACATGGGGCCTGGGCCCTGCATCTTAAGGTCTTTTGCTCAAGGCTAGTGCTCTACCACTTTGAGCCACAGTGCCACTTCCTGAAAGGTGCTTTTCAAATGAAAGCAGCACGTTCCATTGCTGTAGGGAATTAAGCACAGCCATTCTGAATTATTTGCAAGGTAAGAAGCCTGCTTTCCATTGGAGAGTCAGCAGGGCAGGGAGGTTAAGAACCACAGCTGTGCAACATAGGGTCTTAGTTTAAACCTCAGCTTTTCTTTAGTTTAGTGATAAGAACAAACCCCTTTCTTCCCCTGTGCTTCACTTTCCCCATTCACCTCATAGAGTTCTTGAAATCCTATGTTTTTGCTACAATAATAATTGTTATTATATATATATATATATATATACATATATATGTAGTTGCCTGAAAAGACAGTAGGTGGCAAATAATCTGAATTTCTTTATTGATATGGGATGTATTATCAATGGATAAAATTAGCACTCTCAAAGCATTGTGTGCTGATATCTCTCTCTACTTCTCTCTATAGGTATCTTTATAAAATCAACGAGTTGTAATTTTTAATCACAACATCAATAGATAAGTACTTTTGCAAAATGGGATATAAAGTATCTTGGAAGAGATGCATATAACGAAAAGTGAATCAAGTAGGTAAATGAGTTAAAAGTTTGAGAAGTATTTCCACTTTCTAAAGAGTGAGGTAGGGTTGCAGAATGCAGTGCCATTCATGGGCCAGAAGCAGGCCCTCAGCAGAGAGACTGATGCAGAAGAAAAATCCCAGCCATGCCTAAGCTATGGAAAATGTCCTTACGCTCTCATCAGAAGTTGCCTTATCTATTATCACCTCTGGAAGAAGCTGTCCATTGGGGAGCATGAGGGCTGAGGGTCCATCAACCAGAGACACCACACCATTGCAGTCCACGGCACTGTGCATCTTCCCGTTCACTGGCAGCATTGGGGGGGACCTACTGGCCTGGCTGATGTTACTGCTGCGCCGTTCCCAGGGTCTGTGAGGCACAAACAGTGAACCCCGTCTGCTCTCATTGTCTCCAAAAATGCTGTGTTCATCATCGGCAAATTCTGTCTCAGATCCTATCTCTTTTCCTCGCCCCTTGAAGCTGAAAAGACTTGTTCGGCTGCTGCGCCTCGCAGAAAACAAGGAACCAGGGATGCTGAGTGGTGACTGTAGAAAAAGCAAATAAATATAAGGTGACCTGTGTTTGAATAGCAGTAAAAATCAGAAAACTACCACTGAACTTCTGGACCTGATGGCAGAAGATAATTTCCCCTAAAAAAAGGATGAACTAATTTGGTAAATTCATTCTTTTATGTCCAGGTAGGTTATCTACATAGCTCAATGTGGTTACATCTTACAGTGGCCTCTCTATTAAGCACATAACTCATCTTGTTTGATAGGCATAACTTATAAAGAAATTATTCATTGAAATCTGTCATTTAGCTTATCGTACATCAGTCCCAATCTCCAGAAGAAATTGTAACTTTTTTTTTGAACTTTCTTAAGTGTAAAGACCCTGTAAACTGTAAAGACCAACCATCATCTTCTCTGTGTTACATAACTTGCAAGTACACTGTATGACCTGGAGGTTTTTTAGTACCACAAACTTATAAAGTCACAAAACTCAGAACATGCAGAAGAACTTGTCCTTGATCAAAGGGGGATGGGGAGGGGGGTGGAAATTAAACCTAAATGACCCAGGTCCAGGATGAACTGTTCCTATAAACCAAAACTCAAGGTAAACTCTTTGAAAGCATCAAGTTTAATAAACACCAGTACTTGCTATTATAAAGACAAATTAACTGTCACTGACATGAATCTGATGAGATTTTCACCTTACAACAAGCATGTGTAGTTCTTGTCAACTTATTAAAGCTGATGTCATGTGTTTTCATGTTCCACCTCGCCATCAAAAAATCTTTTAAAACAGTTTTGTGGACTCTGTATTCTATTTCTGTGTGTCTCACAGGGTCTTGAAGTTGCATGGGCTAGAAGTTTGAGATTTTAAGTGAAGGCAAAGTTGAAGCAGGTAATAACTATGTGGTATGGAAGAGCACATAGGGAGAATGGAGGACAGAAGACTAAGTGTTGGATGAGAAGCATCTGAGCTAATGGTGGAGCAGGTGGCGCAGTGACAGGAGACATTAGGAGAAAAGCATTTTAGTTCAAGAGAGATGTGTGCACTAAGTAATAAAAGCAAGAAGGCATGAAAACCTGCGGTAAGAGTGAAACTCACAGTTTGGTGAGTTTCTGGGAAGGAAGAGAAAGCTGAGAAAGTAAAGCCAAAGGCTCTTTATGGTATGAATAAGATTTGGATCTTGTTTTCAGTGCTTGTTTAACAGAATATCATTAATTTCTCTGTCTGTCTGTCTGTCTATCTCTCTCTCTTTCTTTTCAAGCTGGGTAAGGGACAACTAGATTTTTTTTTTAGAAAAATGATTTTATGTCGATCATGTGGTGGAGGAAGTGTTAAGAAGAATAGAAACCCTAGTTTATCTTTAGGGTCTGCACACAGTTGTAGGCAGAGGGGCCTGAGGTATGAGTTTCAGATGAATAAAACAAAAAACAGTTCCACACAAATAGATAAACAGACCTCCTAAAGGTAGGTCTATAGTAAGTACATAAAGCTACTATTGAACAGCTTTTGTGATTGGAGGTGGAGGATGTCTGCACATTGGGTGCCTGATATTGACTGCTGATACCATTGCCTAGAGTGTGAAGAATCAAGATAAACCTAGTCCAAGATTGAGTATTTAACTGTATTTTTTTTGTCTTTTCTTTTTTGGTACTGGGGATCGAACCCAGGATGTTGCACTTGCTAGGCAAGCGCTTTGCCACTGAGCTACATCCCAGCCCAAGATTGAGTATTTAAAAGTGCAACTATTATATAACTATGAAAGTCACCTTATTATGTGAATAGTGTCTTCATTTTTATAATGGTTCTAAGCAATATATTGTTTTAGAAACTTGATGAGTAAAGAAGGTAGAACAATGTTGAAACTGTAATTCCCTTCAAACAACAACTTAAATCCATGTCTAATTTCTTTCCATGAATCAGCAGCAATAAATGGGATTTTCTAAACCTATAGGCACATCAATGAAACAACCCACATCCTTCTCCTGCGGTGTCTAGCCCTAGAGTAAACCCTGTGGACTGCTTTCCTGGGTGTGCCGACACAATTAGAGTGTCTGTGTTACCTGATTAGGGGTGGACAGTCTCTTCTCTCGTGCTCGTTTATGACTTTCAACACCCAGGTGGAAGCTTTTCCTTCTGATGCTCTCTTCTGATCCGGATTTGGACAACTTCTCCTCATCTCCCTTTTCCTCCCCACTGGAGAGTTTCTTCTGATTCTTTTTCTTTCTTCTGTTTCTTCTTTCCTTAGCACTCTTTGAACTCAGTTTGGATGTTTCAGAAGAACTCTCTGAGAGGCCCATGATTCTGCTTCGTCCAATACTTGTGTATTCAGCAGCTGCTACTGCTATTGCCTGTCGGGCCAAGACATTCCACATATGTAAAGCATCAAAACTCTGGGAAATTCTATTACAGGATACCCATCTCTCATCATTAAATCTCACTCTTGATTTAGTTGGGTTCTAAAAGTGGTAAAGACCAGAAGCACACTGTGTCTTCATCTACATTACAATAGAGCTCCATTGTACTTCAAAATCTAACTATTACTTGTTACCAGATTGCTTACCACAAAGCAATTTATATAGTTTATGTTGCAATTTTACTAAATAGTTTTGTGGACATAGAATTAAAAATAAGGAGTTCACATACCCAGTAATTAGCTCAATTTTATCAATAGAGTTATTGTACTATATAGCTTAATGGTACTGAGTATTTTGAAAACAAAAATTAAGTACTAAACATAATAGCGTCTGAAAAAACGGCCATCTCAAAAATCTCAGGTCAGCTAACACTATCCTAAAAAGATGTTCTAAAGTTTCTCTAAATGGTACATGTGGTAATTTGACACCCATATTATCTCTATAAAATTAGCTTTTAATGAAAGATAATTTTTTTTTTTTGTCCGTCGTGGGGCCTGAACTCTGGGCCTGGGCGCTGTCCCTCAACTCTTCAGCTCAAGGCTAGTGCTCTACCACTTGAGCCATAAGTGCCACTTCCGGCTTTTTCTGCTTATGTGGTGCTAAAGAATCGAACCCAGGGACTCATGCATGCAAGGCAAGCACTCTACCACTGAGCCAACTCCTGCCTGAAAGATAATTCTTGTAAAAGATTGAGATATAAGATACAAAGTAGTAGAAAGTAATTATAGTCTTATCTCATAAATATTACTAGAGTTGGTATTGATTCTTGTCTTTTTGTAATTAAAATTTTATTTTAAAGGTGACTGACAGAGGGGTTACTGATTCTAGTCTTTCTTTTCTTTTCTTTTTTTATTGTGAGAATACCGTACAGAGGAGTTACAATTACATGGGCAAGATAACGAGTACATTTCTTTTCAAGCATTGTTGCCTCCTCTTTGCTTCCCCTTCCCATCCTTTCCCATACTCCCTCCACCTCCCCGCACCTGCTCCTCCCCCCCACACCAAAGTTGTAAAGTTCGCTTTTCGACATAATGACTTGTACATCTTATTGTTGCAATGGGTCCACCTGTATCCCTATTTAAACTATTTGTTGATTCTAGTCTTTCATGTCTATAATTTTAAAATTTTGAACATATCTTATTACTAACTTCAATATATTTCTCTCATGAATCAGATTTTTCTTAAGCTACCCAGTTTTATGGATGAACAAAAGTCTAAGCTACAAGATAAAATCACTTTAACTTTTCATTTTCTTAATTTAAATATTTTCTCATTTTTACTAATGTTTAAAATGCTATGCTATTTGTACTTGCATATTGAATTTTCTCTACATCACAGATTACCATTCTGCCTTAATAACTTTAGATTCTGTGAGGATATTTAACTGGATCCAATCATCAAAAAATTAAGGATTTTTACAGCATATTTGAAATTATGTTTTAGTTATTCAAAGATTCCGCAGCTTTTCTCCTGAAAAGCTCTTTGGAGAAAGTTTAGAGATGACTCTTCAATGACGTGTGACTTGGTCTTTGTTATCACCTCCATAATTGTGACTTTCTTAATTTTCAAGTTTTAATTCTAGAAATATTCCCATTAAAAATTGATGCATATATTGCTATCTTCTCCATAATCTACCTGTTAACTTTAGCATTAGAATAGTTTTCCTTAAACCATGTTATAGAATTGTGACTCTGGGGAAATGAATCATTCGTATTCTGAACCTCTGCATAATCCCCTACACACTGAGGTGTTGTGAGTGACAGGTTTAGGACAACAACCTCAGAACATCTTAAACACTACTCATAGATGAATACCAGGAAGGCATTAATTCTAGCTCAGTTCAGAACTGGTTCCTTCATTAAAGGAAAACTGGGATAGGCTGAGCATAAGGAAAATCCAGGATAGGCTGGGCATATAGCCTGTGTTATACCTTTTGCATCTCTACCTATAGGAACAATTTTAAACCAAACAGCAGTACCTCAGCTTCTTCTTGTTCTTTTTTGAGTCGATCTAACATCTGCTGAAATTCTATCTCTTTCTGTTTAGCTTCTTCAATGTTGGCTTGATTCTGCTCTTCATAGGCCATGGCCACCACAGCCAGGATCAAGTTGATCAGGTAAAAGGAACCCAGGAAAATGACCACAACGAAGAAGATCATGTAGGTTTTGCCAGCAGCACGCAGTGTCTAACAAAAAAAGGGAAATCATTTCTATTTTGATAATAGGAAAAGGTTTTCATAAACTATGTGTGAATCTTGACATGGAGACATTTACTATTTTATATTAACTTATGATATAAAAGTATAAAAGAGTAAATTTAAAAATCCATGCCAACCTATCAAAATTAAAACAAACACATTTTAGTACAATAAATACAGTGATTAGTAGGTCATTATGTATAATAGTGGAATAATTTTGTTTTTCTCAGTTCTAAAATTAATAGGAAAATTAGCTCATATGATCTTTTGAAAATGTTTGAAGCATTATCTGTAGACTTTTGATGTGTTAAGATGTGTTAAGATTCTTTTCTTTTCTTTTTTTTACAGTCTTTGGGGCTTGAAATCTGGGCTTCGGAGCTGTCCCTGAGTTTCTTTTGCTCAAGATGAGCACCCTCCTACTTGAGCCACAGTGTCACTTCAGGATTTTTTTTGAGTAGTTTATGGGAGAAAAGAGTCTCAGGGAGTTTACTGACTGAGCTGGCTTTGAGCCATTATCCTCAGATCTCAGGTTTAACTTGAGTAGCTAAGATTACAAGTATAAGCCACCAGCACCCAACTAAAATGCATCCTTTAACATAAAATACTAATTATTTTTAGTTTAATGTAAGACATTATCCTCATTGAGTAATTTTTTTTTTTTTGGTTGTGGGGCCTGAACTCTGGGCCTGGGCACTGTCCCTCAGCTCTTCAGCTCAAGGTTAGTGCTCTACCACTTGAGCCACAGCACCAGTTCCGGCTTTTTCAGCTTATGTGGTGCTGAGGAATCAAACCCAGGGCCTCATGCATGCAAGGCAAGCGCTCTACCACTGAGCCTCAGCCCATGAATTTGTTTTTAACTAACCTTCTCATTAATAATTTTAAAGTGCAATTTATCTTTCATCATTCATTCCTTTTTTTTCTTTTGGCAGTATTGGGGTTTGAATTGATGGCCTCACACGTGTTAGGGAGGTGATCTCATTTAAGTCACTCTGCTAGTCTCTCATGCATTACATTTTACATTTTAAAATTGATTCAAAATAGTATCAACAAACTTTAAAATAAAAATCTTTCTCAAATATCGGATGCCAAGCAACTCAATCCCTTTTTCTATCAGTTTGTTGTTATTATGTTCTTCTTTTAAATACATTTCTATAGTGTAATTGACAGCTCATGAGTACAGTCATTTTATTTTTCATTGGAATTTCTGTATTAACAATGCCAGTGTTACTTTCTCTAGTGGTTAACAGAAGCATCATTGAAAGTCTACCTCTGTTAGAATATGTCCCATTAATTATTGCCTTTGAAAGCCTGTTTGATCTTTGTTATTTTGAATGGTGAAAAGTTATACATACCTCATGTTTCAGTTTGCATTTTTCTAATTGTGGTAGATGCTCCCGTCTATTTTGTATTATAACAATTGGAACCTGGTTCACTGAGGACACCTGGGAAGCTGGGAAGGAGGGTTGCTAGAGCACAGGCACTTAAGGAAACCTGGGCTAAGTAGTGTTGCTCTGTTCTCAGCCACCCCTCCAAATCATTTGTGTTACTTTTCTTCCTTACAATTTTCATGTCGTTTTTATACTCACTTACAATATTCTCAAAAGTTAAATAAATATATGAACACACCTCATGTAGAATTCATGAGGCAAGTGGTTCATTGCTATTTATAACAGAAAAAAATCATTTCAGTTCTTTTGGGATTTGGTGCTAAGAATACATCACAACTTCAAGAGGGTCACATCAAGGGATGAGGTGCGAATGAAAAATTATAGCACAAGAGACTGATATTATAAACTGGGGGATTGTTCATGGGCCATGAAAGTCTAGAGCAGGAGTAATTGACTGGAGGAAAAGTATTAGAGAAGTAATAGTTTAAAAAAATTAAGATATAGTTTTTTTATATAAGGCAATTTATTGTGACATTTCCATATATGCATTCATTGACCCCAAACTCATCCCCTCTATCAGTCTCTCTACTTCTCTTACTCCTTTTTAAAACAATTTTTCAACAGATTTCAGTGTTCTATTCTAACACGTGTATATAAAGTAGTCGGGCCACATTTATCACTAGTTTCGCCATCTCTAGTCATCTCTAATTTTTGCCTAGCACCTGGTACTCAACAAAGCCTGTTTCACATTCAGCCGTTCATATTCATGTATATACCAAAGGAGTAGGGATTTCACATGCATATATCATTGTACTTTAATTAGGTTGACCCTCTCATGTGTTCTCCTTTTCAATCTTTCCCACCTCACTACTATTCAGCAGCTTCAGTGAGTTTTATTATGCTACCTTCATATATAAAATCAATGCATTTCAGTGTCATTCACCTTCTATCATTAAGAAAATGTGAGTCATTGTAAACAGGAGATCAAAGTAAAACACATGGAGAGCCTATGAGAAAAGGAGAACCTCATGCACTCAGGACACCTCAATTGCATGAGGAAAACAGAGTGTTAGTAGCTTGAGAGACCATTACAGGATGTTTACTGATACTTCCTTTTAACCCAATAGGATGATATATTGAAGAAGAGAACATAGTCAATACCAGGATGAGAGATTTATTTATGTTACATGATGTATCCATTCCAATCATAGTACTAAACAGTACTGTTTTCTATATTTTCAACTGACAGAAATATTTATTTATGAAGCCAGAAAATGATATGCACCAAATATTTATGCCATTCATCCATGCATACTTCTCCTGGCACTCACCTGTTGGTAAAGGTTTTCCCAGTAATCCTGAGTCATCAGCCGAAACAAGGCTAAGAAGGCCCAGCTGAAAGTGTCAAAGCTGGTGTAGCCATAATCAGGGTTTCTTCCAGCCTTGACACAAGAGTAGCCCTCTGGACACTGACTACACAAGAAAAAGGACATTATATCTCAGCATGCCTTCAGGAGACAAGGTAAAGAGTTCCACAGAAAATGACAGTATCAAAGTTCCTTTTATTGGGGGACAGTGTTGAATAATGTCTAAGAACACATTATTGGGAGTCAGGAAGAAGTGGGTTGAAATCCCACTCTACTATTTGCTTAGTTGATGACCTTGTCAACTTGCTTGAAGGTACTGTTCTTTCCCTTTGTGAAATCAGGATTATAGTACTTAACTCACAGTGATAATATCGGTATTAGATTTAGATATGAGAATGTATATTGATTCCTCATCCTATTTTCTGCACATAAAAAAGCACTGTATAAATGTTAGATGGGATCAGCAACATCATCAACATCATCAAAACTCAGAAACCTCTACCAGATGTTATACAATAGTTCATGGATCAATTAGGCTTGATGTGAAGTCCTCTACCAAGATTGCTTCTCCAAATATCATTCTTGGAGTGAATTATAACCAGGAATAGTCAAGATATAACATTTGTGAAAGTTCATAGATTTGTAGCCTTAAAATATTGTTCCTTTTTTAAAATTGATGCATTGTTTTTCATGATAGCATTACATAAATGCAATGGATTATATAAATACAATGCTATAAGATTTGAGTTGGGAAGCAGCAACTATTTCTAGTTGATTTTATAACCCCAATGTCCCAAGTCTCCTGCAAAATAAAGCCACTATGAGGGAAAAATAGAAGGGTATTTGGATAAACATGAAGTTCTTAAAAATATCTTTACTTAAGTGTAAGGGGAACAAAAATCTACTTAGTTACCTAGAAGGCATATGTAGTTTGATGAGTTGAACTTTGGCATGAAAAGACAAATTGATTTTACTAGTTTTATTTCTAGTAAGAAGAAGCACTGAACTAAAGCTCTAATCAGCAAATTAAATGATTATGCATTTTTCTTCTTTTGCATCATTTAGAGTTTTAGAAAACGTTTACATACCCTGAATCTGTGCTGAAACCACAAAGGAGAGCATCTTTGGATCCCTCCAGGTAATAAAAATATTCTGTTTAGGAAAAATTTGAAGAATATAACATTACAAAATGTAAGATTTAAGAGTAATATAGAAGGTATATTAATGAATACAAAGACACCCATGTATATTCAGACCTGGTTCCAGGTAAAGAGAGTGAACTTATGTATTATTTTCTCTTACACTATTGATTAAATATTGATTGATAACTTCTCTAGGCCAGATAGTGAGTATAATAACAAACAAGATTGCTAACTTTGTGGATCTTCCTTTATGTTTGATGAAAGTAGGAGCTGGAGGTAGAGGAAAATAGTCCACATGAATCTACATGGGCATTTCAGACTGATTTACTTATGGTGTGGACTTTATTTATTCCTATGATATTCATGTGTTGGAGGTTTGCTCTCAATTCAGTGTTTACAGGTAGAACCTAGCGCAAGTGTTTAGATCCTGAAGGCTTTAATGTGATAAATGGATTAACCCATTTGTGGGTTCATTATTAGGATATAGGTACATGGTAGAAACCTATAGAGGCAGAAATCAGTTGGAGAGCACAGGTTGGGCACATTAGCAAATTAAATTTTCTTAAAATACCATGTTATCCACCCTCTTCTTGCTTATAAATATCACATGTATTAGGGTTATATGATCATATATGTATTTGTTATTCCTTCCCCCCTATCTCAGGCCAATCACTTTACAATTTATATCACAAGCCAACTATTGCTTCTTCTCTATTTATTTAAAATCTCAATATTCTATTCTTTATCTCCACTTGTTAGCTGGTTAATGGTGACTTTCTCCTATTTTGTCCACCTTTCTCTCATTAACTTCTGCAATCAATCCAGTTATTCACCTAGAAACCAAGAAGTCATCTTCATATTCCATATCACACCAGAAAACTGCATTTTGAAAAAGCACATGATTCTGGAATTACTGCTCATAGACTTGCCAATCTATAGATGGCTAGTATAAGATAGTTTACACTTGGCTACTTCTTATTTACCTGAAATTAAAGTCATTAAGAGTTAAGAATTTATATCTACACATCTTATATCTATTATTATATACATAAAACTATAATTGTTATAAGAAAAAACTATATGAAAATGTGTGAGGAAGGTAAATTCTCCTTCTCCTCTTCCTCCTCCTCCCCCCTCCTCCTCCTTCCTCTTCCTTCTTCTTGCTTTTTCCTTCACCTTTTCTCTTTCTTCATTCCTCTTTCTCATCTCCTTTCATCCTATTCTTCCTCCCCTTTCCTCCCCTCTCCTCCTCCTCTTCCTCTTCTTCCCCTTTCTCTTTGCAATGTGGTCTCAATGTGTTGCCCAAGTTAGTCTTGTATTTGTAATCCTACAGCTTCAGCCTTCTAAACAGCTGGAATTGCAGGCCCATACCATTGTGTTAGGCTATGATGTGAGGTTGAGCTTTTAGTAAAGAAAGGCTATAAAGTATGGAAAGGCTTTGCTCTCCAAAGAAACAAGAATGTAATCTGTATTCTGAAGTAGAATGACTAAGTTTCAAAATGAGATTGAGGAAAAGTGTAGAACTTACAGCTGAAGGCAAATAAGAAGGTCATAGAAGAATTGTGAAAAATAAATTTTTAGAAAGATATGTTATGTCTGATCAAGCAGGCTAGGACTAGAAAGAAATTGTTTATATAATTTTTCTAATAACTGAACATTAATGTCAAAGTACGCTGATTAAAATCTAGAATTTGGTCCTCTCTGTTAAAACATAGCTTTCCTGAAATTCATTTGCTTTTAAGAAATTCAAGGTCAGGAGGTATGGTTCAGGTGGTAAAATGCCAGCCTACTAAGCCTAAAGCCCAGACTTCAAGCCCCAGATTTTGTTTCCTTTGAACCAAATATTTTTTGGATTTAACAATATAATACCCTGTGTTTCATGTTCTTTCTTTTTATTATAGATTTTGACATAATTTGCAGCTACTTGACTGCTTGAATTCTTGAGTGTTGGGTTTGGGCATGCACTACCACACTATTTTCTTTTTCTTGATTACTTTTTCAATGGCTTCAAAAATAGAACGACTTTATGAGAAGAGTCTAAATATTTCTACAACTATGTGACTCTCTGCATTTGACTATAAATCTTTGTCACTCTGATTAAGTGAAGAACTGTTTTTCAAATTACCTGTGATCCTGCATAATCAAATTTTGTACCTTTTGGTATTTTTGAAAAACTTCTCGGGCTGGGAAGGTGGCTCAGTGGTAGAGCGCTTGCCTTGCATGCCTGAGGCCCTGGGTTCGATTCCTCAGCACCACATAAGCAAAAAAACTAAAAAAGCCGGAAGTGGCGCTGTGGCTCAAGTGGTAGAATGCTAGCCTTGAGCTGAAGAGCTGAGGGACAGCACCCAGGCCCAGAGTTCAGGCCCCACAACCGGACCCCCCCCAAAAAAAGTAATAATTGAAAAACTTCTCAAATTCTAGATTAAATATTTCTCCTGACCCAAAGATATCTTTTGAATTTTTACATGCTACACAGCTCAAAAGTATAATACCTCTACTTACAAGAATAAATATATTAGCTGGACACCAGTAGCTCATATCTATAAGAGTAGATACTCAGGAGATCTGAGAATCACAGTTTGAAGCTGGCCAGCGGAAGAAAAGTCCCTGTGGGACTATTAATCTTAATCTCTGATTAACCCAGAAGTGCTGCTGTGGCTCAATAGGTAGAGGGCTAGCCTTGAGCATAAAGAGGGTCAGGGACAGCACCCAGGCCCCTAGTTTAAGCCCCACAACTGATGACAAGAAGAAGAAGAAGGAGGAAGGGGAGGAGAAAGAGGAGGAGGAGGGGGAAGAGGACAAAGAGGAGAGGGAGGAGGAATAAACATATTGATGGGGGAGAAAGAGGGATTAGGGGTGACAATGATCAAGATGCATTCTACTCATGAACTGACATGTTGAACTGAAACCCTTTGTATATCTACTAAAACGTAATTTAAAATATTGAAAATAAACATTAAATTAATTGAGCATAATAAATTATATGACAAATGCCATCAAATAATAAGTAATAATAAATTTTTGAGTTATATTTTTATGGATGTTTTATTATTAGTATGTGTGACAGAAATTATAAAAATTCCTACAAATCTGAGCATTACTCATCCTATTGATTATACGTGGTCAGAATTCTTGAGCTATAAAGAAAAATTGATGTATTCTCTTTTATAAAACTATAAACAGAACTTCAAATTAAATAAACATTAAATAAATACTTTGGCAGGTTTTCATGCCAAGTGAGCCAGTACTGACATTGTTAAAGAATGCAATTTGGTTTGAGTCAAGTGATTTTAACCTATGTCACAAACGTTGCTATGTGCTGATTTGGAGACATCAGTGTGGTGAATACATGGTGTAAAATTCCAGGGTAATTGTGGAGGATTTCCCCGCCTGGATCTTCCTAGGCCCATAAAATTTCTATTCTCATAAGCTCTTTACTCTTTGACTCATCTTGAGTAGACAAAATGAAAGATGAAAAAAGTACATAAGACTATTATAATATCACTAAATTGGTTTATGGCCTCTGTGTAGTTGTGTAGTTGTGCTAATAGGCAACAAAAAAAACCCCAAAGGTGATACATCTTTGACATGTGTTGCATCACTTCAGCATTTACTGATGGATTTCATTCAGTTTTCATATTCAATGCATACTTTCTGGCTGTATAAAACCTTTCCTGTGGAGGAAGACCAATCAGTGCTAAAATAGTAGTTAAAACTCCATTGGAAAATGTGTTTCCTTTATGTAAAAACCATACTATGTATCTGCACCTACAGAAGTATTTGTTTTACCAGAAAAGTCACAGTACAATTGAAGAAGGTATTATACAAATACTGACACTAAGCAAAACTGAATGAATGAACTGCATTGTCTTGGCCAAAGGTATTAGCACTGGTCCTGATGGCGGGGAAATTTACCTTGGCTAGTATTATCTTTTATAAGAGAGAGAGAACTGGAAATCATATGTATTTCATGTTCTTATAAATACTCACAGGATGTAAAATTACAAGGCTTAATGTATTATACCAGAATGTATTTTCACAAGGCAAATTAGTTTTTCATGACCCACAAAATAATAAAAACCAGATCATTTATAAGTCTAGAACACAAAGAGTGGGTCTTTTGAGTACAATAATAGCAAAAAAATAGTTTGAAAGGCTTCACACTATTTAGAAGAGCCAGTAGAAAGCAGAATCACATGCATATGTCATCAAAATTTCATGATCAAAGAACTTGGATGTGCATTTCTCAACCCAAGAGAATTTATCTAGACTTGTAATTCTATACAATCATTGGGGATTTGAAGATAGAACTGGCTCTCAAATTTTCTGAGTCAAATGGCTTCCTACAGATGGACAGCTTCATCAGTCTTCTCTCCTCTATTACCATAAAAACTTTGTCCCCTTCCTCTTTCCCCTGTGTTTCTTTTTCTCCTTATGCTTGGAAGGATAATGTTAAAGCAAGATTTAGTGAACAGTATCTCCTTTAGGTGGTCTAACTGAATGTTGTACATACCATGTCAAATTAAATCTTTACATGATTTGAGGAGATTCTCTAGTTTGGCCTAGAAAAATGATATTCCAAATGAGATCATTTGTTCAAATTGAATTTCTTGTCCTTTCTTTAGCTACAAGTACTCAGATTACTTGCTCAAATATAAGAGCTTGCAATACTTGTAAAACATTCAAAGTTAAAATATACCAGAAATTGAATAAAGAAAGTAAACAAGAAAGACAATCTCTCCAACCAGGAAAAGATCCAATATCAGAATGTTTGACAAATGTCAGTAACAGTTGCCTACTGGAGACCCTAACATTTCAAGGCATCCCACAAGGATCAGCCTGTTCAGGGCAAATTTTTCTACATATAGAATCTAACAATGTGATTATTTTTGGCCAGGTACAGGGTCAACTTCCTGTCTCAAGGAGAGGAAAATAATGAGCCCATGTGAATTATGGATCTAATACAGCTACTGTCAATTCATATTGCAAAGTCAATTGTCTCTTAATTTGTACTGTGGAGTAAAGAACTATTTCCCAGCAGGCATGAATTCCTCCAAATATGTACTTTTTGATAGAATACTCCTTCCCTAGATTGGCATAAATGCAAATGTAGTTAAGGTTAAAAAAGTCAATTAAAATATAATTCCAGAAACTAGATAGAAAGAAGGAAAAATGCTAAATTCCTAGCCAAATGGTAGTAGTATTTTAAATATTTTATTTACAAACATTTAGTTTTCTTAAGTCTTTTGTTATTTTTCAATTTATTTTATTTTATTGTAAAGCTGCTGTACAGAGGGGTCACAGTTACATGAGTAAGACAATGAGTGCATTACTTGTGGATCATTGTTACCCCTTCCCTTCCTTGTTGTTGTCCCACTATCCATCCCTTCCCTCCTCCACCTCCCACATTCCTACCTTCCATACCATCCCCCACCCTCTTACCTCACACACCCAAAGTTATAAAGTTCATTTCCAGTATACTGTCCTGTGGGTATCCTTGTTGCAATGGGTCATCCTGTGTCCTTCTTTCAGTGTTTTGTTATTCCCCTTCCCCTCCCCAGATTAGACATACGTATATACAAGATGCAGTGTACCAAAGTCAAGTAAAGCGACAACTGGGGATATGCCACAGGGGAAAGAACATACAAAGGAAACAACAGCAGCAACAACAAATAAAATCACATGGTACATTTCAAACAATAACAATAAAGACAGACCTCTTGTGTTCCTATCTTGGGGTTCATTTCACTTAGCATCATCTTACGTGATCGTTTGTGGCTTTTGAGCATTTCAGCTTCAAATACTTTTATTTACAATTTTTTACCAAGTTGGCTAGATTGTTTATTTCTATTTTGCTCAATGAGTGGGAAAGGAGGCATTTAGTTAAAAAAATGTGTACTGCTCTTCATTATCTAAAGAGAGTCCTTCTCTTTGTTATCTGACCCCCTTTAGGGACCAGTATGTATGTTGGAATGTTTTCTTGTCTCATTATTCTTGAATCAAACTAATAAGGTGTGTCTGTTCATACATAATGTCACTCATATACATTCCATGTGTTAGAAAGGGAATACAATTGTGATCTTATTTTTACTAGTATTCAACACTCCTGTGATAAACTCTATATGGGGCTAATTAATAAGAGAACACAGTCATGATTTATTTAAGATACTCTAATACCCACTTTTGACTTAAGCAGACTTCTGAGACTGTATGTAGACCATCTCTTGTACCTATGGCAAGAGGTTGAAATTTGATGATATACCATCAACCTATACTGAGAAAAATCATCAGAAATAGCTATAAAATTTATCATTTGCTTTATGGATAATGCTGATAAAGCTGAGTAAACTTTTCTGCTTTATACCAAGCTAAATAATCTACCAACATATAAAATGATGCTAAGCAAAATGAACCCCAAGATATGGAAACAAGAGGTTTTTCTTTGTTGTTTTTAATAATGTGGAGCTATTTCTTTTTTCTGGCAATTCCCTCCCACCATAGTTTATCCCTTGTTGTCACTGTATTTGATTTTGGTACCCTATGTATTGTATATATGTTTATCTGAATTAGGGAAGAAAGAGAAACAACAAAATGGTGAGACAAAGGACAAAGGGGGAACCAATGCAACAGCAATACTCACAAGACGGTATGTTAGAAATGAACTTTACAATATGGGGGGAGTCATTGGTGGGGGGAGAGAAAGCAGGAAAAATGAGGGAGAAATAAAAATGTTTGACAAGAAATGTACTCATTACTTTACATATGTTACTGTAACCCCTCTGTATATCACCTTGATGATCAAATTAAATTTTAAAAAATACTGACATATTTTAATATTGATCATTAATTTTTATCACTGTTAGTAAGTTAGCAAGATATTTCAGTTATAAATATAATCTAAATATAAAAATACAGTTATTATATAATTGCCACATTATATTATAAATATGTCACATTATATAATAAATATTAGTATGGATTTACATGTATTACATACTAAAACTGCAACATAAAAAATCTATAATATGCTATATGGTTAAAGGTAACTGTTATATTATAAATTATTATCTTTCCCTAGCAAAACTTGATTCCTTTTATTTTATAGAAATCAAGAGTTATTAAACTACCCCATGTTCCTATTAACAAACCTCTACAAAGCGTAGAACAGGATAGATTTATAAAATTCATCTGTAACATGATAAAAGCTCATGGTGGCAAATTGCATATTTAACCAACTTTGAAATAATTAAAATGAAAGCAACCTTTCCTTAGTAGAAGAGAACAATTTGTTTGGATTACTTCAATCTATACATAACTAAAGGCATAGTCTTACTTCTTAGTTCATCTTCACTCTCTGTACGATTCAATATGCTTTCCAGTGTTTCATTATTTTCAAGGTTATTCCGGAAACATTTATGCTTCAAGTTGCCCATAAAGAGCTGCAGCCCAATGAGAGCAAACACGCTCAGACAGAACACAGTGAGGATCATGACGTCGGAGAGCTTCTTCACCGACTGGATGAGGGCCCCCACAATAGTCTTTAGGCCTGAAATGGAGAACAAAGGCATTCATAATGACAAGTTCATAATCATAGATTCCACATGACAAACAAAAGTGAAGTACAAGCTTTCCTAAGAATGCATGCATTATGTGAAGTCAATGAAGACAGTATTATAGCAATATAATTCATGAAATACTACTAGTTTGAAAGAGTGGATTTGCCATTTTATATATACTTTATTTCTATACATTACAGCAATGCTTAAAAATAGTAAAATATTCACAAATAGATCATCGAATGAATTCTTTAGTAACTCAAATCTGATCCATATTTATTTGTAAACATAGTTTTTAAATCTCAAATTCAGTGAATTCTTCTCAACAAACCATTTCTCTACAATTTCTCCCAAACAAATAATGAAACTGAATGAAGCACATACTGATAATTTATAATGAACCAATTTCAAATAAAGAATGGTTTGCCGAGAGAGACATGAAACAATGTGCCATGCAATACTCCCATGCTACTGTTTCTTACTGATTTTCTTAACTACATGAGAATGGGTTAAAATTAATTGAAATTTTCCATTCTGGATTAAGCAAGTAGCAAATGAGCCTTGAAACAGAAGGGAAAATTTCAAGTAGAGATGTAAGCTGTGTGGTTATGTTCATCTGCCAAGACCATGCAACTGATTAAACTCAGAGGCTGACTTTAAATCATGATTGCCATAAAGAAAAAGCAGGCATGAAGTTTGACTAAAATGCATAAAAATTGGGTTT